TATTAACTACATATTATTAGGCACTATTAACCCTTTACTGCCCCCCCCCGTCCCTCCTCCCCACTCCTCAATAACTGAGCCGGGTCTAAACCCAAACTATCCATAACTAAGGATTTGAAGGTTGTCTGCAGAGGTAATTCAAGCGGCAGAACACGGATCCACAATAGTTTAGCGCGAAAAGAATCGGCGTCCGCGCCACATGCGCTGGCCCTCACGTTAGTTGTGTGTCGGTGCCCATAACACGGGCTATAAACCAAATCGCAACCAAATAACGCAATATTTATGTTCTAGAAGTCAAACTACCCTTAACGACAGGTTTTCAGCGCATTTGGTGATTCTATCCATAAATGTTCTGGCGCTTCTTGACACCGGCACTTGTGGCGCAATCTCCAAGCGCCTTTACGCCAAACGAAGTTGTAGGGCTCGAACTACCCCCGGAGCATCTTTTTTAGCCTAATTCCAGCTATGGAAAAATTTCGATAAAAAATGCTGTTTTGGAGGAGTAGCGAGGGAGAACGGTAAAGGGCAAATCTGCCGAATATTATATTTCTTCGTGCCAATTTAGAAATTGAAGAGATGATTAAGCTCAACCGGTGATTGAACTTCAGACCAAGGTTGCTCCCCTTTGCTCGGCTGATGCTCCAACATTGGTTCCTTCTTTTAGAGGAGTTTGGAGAAGCCCACCAAGATTTTCACCATCAGAATATTCGCCATAAAGTCCATCACCAATTGAGATTTACCCTCTGTTCCCGAAATCCAGATGTCCGTCGAGTGCAGACCACACACCACAAGTGACGACGGCCTCCACAAAATGTAAATGTTTTCTGCCAATGAAATGATTAGCCTGCAGTTGTATTCTATCAGTTGTCACTAATTACAACTATCATTTACCAACTATCAGCTATCACTATGAACCACTACTAATTTACTTGGAGGCCGTCGTCACTTGTGGTGTGTGGTCTGCACTCGACGAGCATCTGGTTTTGGGAAGCAGAGTATAAGTGAAGTTTCACGTAAACTCGGGCAATACCAGAACAGGTTGCGGTGGGTGGAAGGAAAAAGAAAAAAATCTGAGTGGGAACAACAGGAGTTCCGATGAAATGGGTAGTAAAAAGGAAAAGGAAGAGTAGACGGAAAGGAATAAGGATGAAGGTTATACACAGGGAGAGAAGGGTAAATGGGGGCTGGTAAACAAGTCATTACTACTCGTTAGATAATGACTACCTTCTTGCATAAACGCATCCAACCCCAATTATTACCATTCCTATCTGCAATATGCTACTTGTTTTTACAACCCTGTAGATTTCACTAGCATTTCTAAAACACATACTTTTCTTTGGCGAACAAATTCCGGCTTTGAGCAAACGCAATATGTTCCTCTTGACGTTGTCGAGCCTCTTGATGCCGTCGTCGCATCACCGAACGACGGTCCGATTCGTGCATGGCTTGCTGGGAAGAAGTTCTAAAACTAAGGCATTCAGGTGGATAGACTACCACTAGAACGTTCTCTCTGGGTAACAGTAAGGCTGGTGTCAGAGTCCGCGATCCGTCGCGCGATTCGCGCGAATCGCAAAAATCGCAAGTGCCCCATTTGAACATTTGAAACACTGAATATGAAACAAGTAGAATCATGAACAGTCGTCATTCAACCATCACCATCAAGCAGAAATGGCGGCGGATTGGAGAGCACCTTCGCAGTATTGATCGGGCACTTGTGATTTCTGTGATCCGTCGCGCGGTTCGCGCGAATCGCGCGACGGATCGCGGACTCTGACACCAGTCTAAGGTGTATCGGCAACTTGTGCATCACGCAAGCGTCACACAAGTGGTTATGAAACAAAAGGAGTTATAAAACTAATAGAAACACCATGCACACACACACCTTTCCATGCTGGGTGCACTTGACTCAGCCACTTCACGACAATCCGTGTCTACCCGCGTTCGGGAGGATTTTGCTGGGTCAGAATCCTTCTCAGCAGCTCTCCATGACGACTCTTTCGGCAAGCCGTTCCTCGATTCAACCTCATCGGTATCAAAATGGACTCCATTGGTGACAGGGGGTCGTGGTGGAATCGCACTGTAGGACCAGCCATTTGTGGGACGGTAGGGCTGGGTTTCAGGAGTCGATGAGAAAGGGGATGGGGAAGGGAAGGCAACACGACGGGCCGGATTCGTAAAAGTGGCTTGAAGGGAATTCGTGAGTCTGAAGATTAATTCGTGATGATTCTGCGGAGCGCTCACGCCGGCGTCTGCTCTCGTGCGAGGTCGGTGCTGACCTATCAGCGACCACTTCAATAGGAGCACAGCATGATATTAATTATCTAGTATAAGCACACCACAAAATTTCTCTCATGCACGTAAAATTTACATCATATACTTCACAAAAAGCTGACAGTCGCTTTCACAGCCTGCTGAATAAATTGTCATATTATCGCAATATACAGGGCCTCTTCAGTCTAAGTTCGGAAGGGGACAGGAAGGCCGGGAGCATGAAAAAGCTGATGCACCCTGGAGTTCTCCTCCCCGCCTTAAGGCTTAGTCCCGTTTTTAACAAAAAGGACATGTTCTACCCAATTTCAAACGCATTGTCACCATGCCCCCGTATCTTGCGATAGCGCCCAAAATTGCATAGCAAAATGGTATAGTAAGTCAAAGTTGTTACAGTAAGATTCAGAAGTACATTGTTAGTAACTGTAACAACTTTGACGAACAACAAAAAAGGAGAGGTGAATTTTCACTCTCTAAAGTGATCCTGAAAGCAAAATTGGAGGTGAGCGGCCGGTTGCGGGTAAAGGCGATGACACTCGACAAAGAGATGGCCGGGTGCGATTGGGCGCGCGGCTGCCGGGATGCCAGCCAGTCCCAGCGGAGGGAAAGCGGAAGCCGCCGCTGCGGATGATTCGGGTACGAACGCACCTCATGCGTGCATTGACGTCGTCGTCGCTGTTTTCGGCTCGCTCATCCTCTTTGCTCAGCTCCCGTTCGTACAATCTGCACTGCTCGAGCAGCTCGTTGTTCCCCAACTTCATCATACTTTTCATGGCCTCCTCCATTCCCAACATCTCCAGCGTGTCCACAGCGTCGTAGTAGGTGTCCTGAAAGGAAAATCTGAGCTTGCGTGGAATTTTGTGAAACTTGAGACAAAAGCAGCCAGTTCAAGAAACCGGGTACTCTTAAGCGCTCGACACAACGCAATGACCATGACGGCTAGAGGGCGGTGCGGATTCAATGACGTCATCAAAACCGCACCGCCTCCCAACTATCGTGATCACTACCTTTAAGTTCAGTGGACCTACAAATAGGAAGAAAAATTTTAGGCGCTATCGCAAGATACGGGGGCATTGTGCATTGAAAATTGCGTCAAACATCCTTTTCTGTTGATGGTGGAACTATGCCGCAGGAGGGGAAGGAGAGACCCCAGGGCACATGAACAATGTTCATTCACCCCGGGGCTTCTGCCCCCTCCTAGGCTAAGTCCTAGAGGATGCCCCCGCATCTTGCCATAGCGTCAACTTACAAATTCGTTTATGGAAAACTTTGAAAGTGCTCTGAAAAGAGTTTATTTATTCATCTGACTACTGTTTTCCATAAACAGCACTTAATGTGAATTTGAAAAAAAAATATTAAGGTAAATTTCGAGAGAAAAATTTCCTAAAAGTAAAAATTATACCCACACTGTCCGGGATGCCTCGCAGTGTCTTGTTGATCACCGTCATACCGTACACCAGAGTTTCCGGATCAGGTGAGTCTTTCTCGGAGATCACCTTCATGAGCCCACTCCAATCCTGCTGACCTTATTATGAGGCGTTCAAAAAGCATTATTGGAACTCTTTGGGGGCGACCGTGAATGGGTTTGACATGAGTATATCGGTTACTGTGGCGAAGAGGCAGGCAGAAGTGGTGCAGTGGTATATGGCGCAGCTGTGACAGGACCTATGCGGGGAACAAGCATCGTCTGCGTCAATGAAACCTGCAATTTCTACAGCGTTAGTATAACAGTTGTCTAGGTGTGAAGACGAAAAAGTAACTGCAGTAGAGCTGCCACCACTTCACGGAGCTCATTTTACAATTAGGTAATCAGTGCTCATTGTCTCTTCAAAGAGATAGTTGTGACGAAAGTCGAAGGGCTAGAGATCGGAGCATATTTGAGAGCTTATACCACATGTTTCCACCTAGGCGAAGAAGGAGGGCTGCTATTACATCAAAAGAGTCAATTTTAGTAGGGTCAGCAGCCGATGTTCACTTTGAGCTCAGTTTTTCAGAGCATGGCTTCGAACTATTCGAAGCGAGTCACCACCATCTGAGGAAGCTAGGAAGAGCAAAGGCAAGCGTCATATACCCTTTCTTCCCGGCAGCTGGATGCGTGTCCACTGCAGACTTCACATCACAAGTGACGACGTCATCCATAAAATGCGATAGTTTTCCGCCAACGAAAGCTCAACCTGTTGCAGGTCAATTGTCATTAATTACTGCTATCATTTATCAACTATCGGCTATCACTATAAACACTAGTAATCAGATTTACTTGGATGTCGTCGTCACTTGTGTTGTTGAGTCTGCATTGCAGAATTCTTTTACCCCAGAAATAGAAACGATAGTCAAAATCAGGGAATAACGGTCGAGGAAATCCTCGACCATGGCTCTCTACTGTGCGAGAGTAGTGTCGAGAGTGAATGTACGCGCGGAGAGCACAGACGGCTCGCGCGTGGCGAGAGTGAATGTCCGCGCGGGAGAGTAATGAACAGGAAAATCCTCGACGAGTCGTCGAAAAACCCTCGACCGATTTTCACCCTCGTCAGAACCGTGAGTGAGAATGAAGATACCTCATGTTTAGAAAACCAAGGTAGACAAGAGTGTAAACACTGCGGATTATTCTCGCTATGAAAAGCTGCGTAAAGTCATTAAATAGAGGTGTAGGAAAAAGTGTACTTTTCGCCAGTCGGTAATGCGCGTTGAACATGCAAGTAATTACTTGTAAAGCTCCTAATATTTTAAAGTTGTTGTACACGACAAAAGTTGTGCACAGATCGTGCGGCCTCGTTTTTCTGGTGAACATCGAACGGGGTGGGTTAGGACTAGGATTTAAAGACCTGTAGGTGACGCTAGTTCTACAGGTCTAATCAGGAAGTCCTACGCCGCACAGGTATGAGCAGCCTCCACGTGATTGTGGCACGGCGCAGACTCCGACTGGCTGGACATATCCTACGTATGCCACAACACCGCATTCCACGAAGGGCCATGTACTGGGTCCCTCCAGGAGCCAAGAGCAAGGGCCGTCCCAGAAACACGTGGAGACGAACATTCGATAATGACCTAAAGACCATGGATGTTTCTAGGGATGAATGTGAAACACTTGCGCAACCATATTGCAGCACTTCGGAAAGAATCGTCGCCCGATGTGCTTCAACCAGCAGCGGGGAGGAACTACGAGCCCAAGTACGGCCAGGACTTGACTCATGTTTGAGGGCAAAAAAAACGGGTCTGGTACCATCGATTGACCTCACTAGTCATTCTTCAAAAACCCACCAATAAATGCTCTGATAGTCAAAAATTGAAATTCGATTTCAATGCGCCCCCACTAATGGTAACATCCCCCGGGCGAAATTTTGCATTTGGGTTGGCGCCTGCGGGGTGGTGCCAAATCGCGCTAAATGTCAAAATCAGATGTCATATTCATCGTCAGGACCATTTTGAAGCCAACAAGTGGCCGCCAACCTTGATTGCAAAATTTAGTCGCCGCGGGGGATTGAACCATCAAGAGTATCATTCACCACTTTTTTGGTACTACTAAAACCGTTCAGCGAAAACGAAACATGGTTTTGTGGTCCATACATGCGTCCCTACAATATGCAAGAAACCGTTTCCAAAAAGCGGCTTGCCCTGAAAGACCCTTCCTTGTAGTACGGCCGTTTCGCGCACCGCAAGCGAGCTGCCAATATAATGGACCAGTGAGCCGTCCTGTACTGGCAACAGCTACAGGTCGTTTAGGGTGTGCCAAGCTTTTTCAAAATGGTTTCTTGCATGACACTGGGGCACATATGGGGACCACAGAAGCATGGTTCATTTTCCTGAACGGCTCTCTGAATACCAGAAAAGGGGTTCCCTAGTTCGATTCCTCGTGGTGACAAGTTTTTGCATTTCGTGTTGACGTTTCCAAATTCGCGCAAAATGGAGTTAGCATGAATAATTAGTACCAAATTCATGATTAGGAACGTCAGTAACCCTTACAAATAGACTTTGATTGAAAAACTGGTGAAAAAGGTGTGACTAGGGACCCCCTTTTCTGGTATTTTTTTCTTTTCTGGTATTCAGAGGGCCGTTCAGGAAAAATTAAACATGGTTCTGTGGTCTCCCGCATGTGCCTCTATATCATGCAAAAGACCGTTTTCAAAAAGCTTGGCACACCCTGAAAGACCTTCCCTGTTAGTTGAAGCTACAAACGAACCCTTTGCCTCGATCGACAGCGGAGATAGCGGCCAACACAAGCAGGGCGTTGTTGTCGTTGTACTCGATGAAGACCAGTAGAAGCTTCAACGCCGTCCTTCACGACGCCATCGGAACTGAATGCACGCATCAAATGGGTGAATGTAGGTGCAAGAAGTGTCTGTGGCACATTCCTTGAGAAGTTTGTTAGAGGAAAACACACAACGATAAGAGCCCATGGAACAAGAAACTGCGTCCTAAAAACCAGTAATCACACACACACACACACATTCATCGATTGCTTCACAACGAGGAACTCCGAAGTATCTCCAATCATAAAAGCTGGTTGAATGAGGATTTTGTTACTGTCTATTATAAAATGGTTATCAACACTGGTTATTATTAACCTTATCTTATCGGCAATATAAGTGAAGATCAACCAACATCGACTATCAACAAACGCACAAGATCGACTCATTTTCAAAACTTCAACTATACAAACTGGCTCAGGATTTGTCCTATTGAAGAGTTAATACGGTACTAAATCTATACCCCTTTAACTGGCCGCCACTCCTGCGAGAACTGAGCCGGTTTCTATTGCCAAATTTGTGCATGGACGGTGGACCTGTTGCTAAAACAACTGCCGCCAGGGTAGTTTCGACACGTAGAACACCAATATCTTACATTCTATCGGCCGCTTAGAGCGCACTGACGGCTCGCGCCAGAAGCGCTAAACCTGCAAGACGAAATTCGCTGGTAACTTGTCATTCAAAAAGGTACTTTGACCAGTGGAACGTGAATATCACATTAGCTCGTTGTGAATGAGTCTGTAGGCTGCGCTACGGGTGCCCGCGCAAAGCTATTGTGATAGCGCCGGCGCCTGTGGCGCAAGTGCTAAGCGTTGTCGCGCTAAACCGATGTGATATTCGTGTTCTAAGGGTCGAAACACCCCTGGAAACAAAGTTTTCCAGCCAAAGTCCTAGTCATGCGACAAATTTCGATCAAAATCCGGCTCAGTTCTTGAGGAGGTGGGGCAGTAAAGGGTAAATAGTGCCGCGTTATTAGGGTAACGCTGCGACTTCTTGGCCTTCGCCAGAACCCAAAAAGACAACACACTACAGATGAGCTCCAAAGAATACGAAGAAGTTGGAGCATTCATAAACAGAAACAGTGATTCCGTGTAGTGATTGCAAGAAGCGATTTAACTGATAAGATTTTCCGCATCGGGGAGAACCTGCGCCACACGGAGCAATTACTTGGCTGCCAAGGAAGCGATGTGTGGCCCTCCCACGGCGAAAGGTGCTGTGGTTGCTGAGCAGGACCCGCGTGACGCCCGCCCCCAGTGACGTGACGCCCACTAGTTTTGTTGATGATCTGGATGGACTGTTTGCTGTTGGCTTTTCATTTTGGATGATTTCCCTTCTAGCGGCTGTATCTTCCAACTTGCCCACGTATTGCCTTATCAATCAAAACACTATGCTTGTTGGCATGATGGCGGCTATCGGGGTTAACACGTCCGAACAACTCAGTCTTTACCGTCGCTCATCCATGTCGAAAATGAAAGGGCAATCAAAGAGGTAATCGTAATCGGCTGCCATTGAAATCTCAGTGCATAAAAAAAATAACAAATTAGCAAATTTTACCAGTTTCGAATTGTTGAACAATCGCATTTACGAGCCGTGAAATAACCCTTGGCAATCTTCAGGAATACCACGAGAAAGCGTATGCAATGGCTCAGGCGGAGGATCGGAGGGTTAGCTCTAGAGGGAATCACTGCGTAAACCACACCACACTCCTTTAATGCCCTGTTTTTGGAAC